CATATAAACACGCAATGGAGTCTAGAATAGTTGGGAGAACCTGTTTTAGTAGTAATCCTTTTATTTTGTGCTGCTGCCGATCTTGGCCCTTGAAAAATATATATATATTTTTTTTTATCTCAGTAGGACCTATACTGGTTAAATAAGTAAACTAAAATATAGATTGATATAGATATATATATGTGTGGTAACTGTACATCTGTCAGAGCAGATCTGATCATCTGATTTGCTAGAAAAGAAGCTTCTCAGGACAAAAAAACACATGATTTAGCTCTTATTTGTGGGTACTGAGAAATAATTAATTTCAGTTTTAATCTTAATGCCAGCAAATCGCTGCAACATTACTGCTTTATTGTGATAATGTAACTTAGAATTTCAGAGGAAGTATAGAAAGAAACTATAGCCTATATAAAAATAATACATTTTTTTAGAAGGAAAGAAAATATGCAGCATTAACATAAACATTGATCCTCCTCCAAAGTGTGGAGGTGGTGGGCCAAAAGAAACCATGTGCTGCTACAGGAGCTGCTGCAGCTGCTGTTTCTGAGCTGCCACATACAGTCTTATTTACATACACGTCCAACACAAGAAAATGAGCTGGAGAACATTATGCAAACACCAGCGGCCACATGCATCTATAAGAACCGGCAGAGAGACAGAAGGAAACTCAAGAGTCATCACAAAAGGACTTGTTGGCCACATGCAGCCATCCATCCGGCCAATCCCAGCTTACTTTGGGCAAAAGGCAGGATACACCCTGGACAGGTCCATCGCAAGGCTACACATAGACAAACAACCACTCACACGGGGAAACCAATTAACCTAGCCTGCATGTCTTTGGATGGTGGGAGGAAGCCAGAGCACCCGGAGAGAACCAACGAGGACAACATGCAAACTCCACACAGAAAGGCCGGGGCAACTTGGCTTTGAACCCGCGACCTTCTTGCTGTGAGGTGACAGTGCTAACCACTGCAGCACCATGCCACCCCACATGCAGCCAATTATTATGAAAATGAGAAGAATTGTTTAAAAAACTAAATGGACTAAACATGTGAGGTTCAGCCACAGCAGCTGTTGTTTGTAATGAGAATCATTTATGGAAAGAAATGTACATTACATTCTCTCCAGGTTGTCTTTGCATGTGAGCTTTGTTCAAACCATGCTGTCAAATCCCCCATAGTGAACTCACATAATGACATTCTTTAAACTCACCTCATTTTTACCAATTTAAATGCATTTAACATTGAAATTCTTTTGTTTAAAAATGTAGAAAAGGCTCTTTAATTCTGACCTTGACACCCTCATCCATTGAAGAGGATTCTTTACCCTTATTTCACCATGTAAGATAACTAAAAATATGTTCTCATTAAAGTCCAGAGGGACGAGTTGCCAGGGAACAGAGGTGGTTATTAATAACAGTTTAAACTGGTTTGGAACTGAGCTCTTTCACTGGTTAGTTGGGGGTTTAATGTTCTGCTGAGAGACATTTTAACAGGTAATGTAACGTTACAGCTCCAGGATTAGAACCAGCAACCACAGGTTCAGCAAAATGTGACAAGTCGTAACCTTTGGTTTTAAAACGGAAAAAACAAAAAACAACTTGCTTTTTTGTTTTTCTGATTTAGTTATTAAAAGAAATAATCAAAGAACGAACCATATATGGATTCACAACTTTAACCACTAGTTTTATTTTGAAAGTCTAACCAGACATTGCATATTTATTATTGTTAACTTGACTGTGTAGCTCTATACGTGCAAATACGTACATGCTAAAGGGTACCCAGGGCGTTAAAAAGCCACACTATGGGTGTTGACTTAGCGTCCAAATGTGACGAGTTGGGAATGAGAACTGGTTGGAAAAACCAACAGCAGTGAAAGAACTGCTCATCCCTCCTCGTGTGATCATGTCCCAGCTCCACACGGAGCTTCAGGTTCATTATGTTCGATGCCATGGCATTTTTTTTAAATGAGTGGCAAAGAGGCATGATGACAAACAGAGGGGAATAACTTCTCAAAGCGGTTGGTTGTGTACCAGTTTCTTGTTTTTTTAGAAGAGAGTTGCTGCGAGAGTCGCTGGTGAGGCTCTCACTGGGAAGAGCGAACCCTAGACAGGATGATGTTTCCAGGACAACCGGGTCCTTCTTGGTTTGGTGGGCGGGGCTTAGCAGAGGGAAACGAGCAGCAGAGAGAGAGGCGGAGAAGAGAGAAGGTTTTTGCATTGTATGTTCAGTCGTTACCGACCGCAGCTTTAGAACTAACTGCTGGTGTCAGCTGTTGGAAGTGGAGGAGAGAGGTGGCTGCCGGCCGTCGGTTTAAATGAAAGGATGCCCTCAAAAAAGTAACCCAACATATGAAAAATTACAGCTTTCTCTATGTAAAGAAGTTAAGTCTGTTTGATATTTTGACAGCATGTTTCACCATCTTGTTGTAGTTTTGGCCGTTGTTTTCAACTCTACTCAACTTATTTCTTAACCATAAATTAAGTTAAAGATATGTCAGAGGTTACTTGATATTATTTAACTATGATTATAACAGCTTAATTTATTATTACGCCAACAAATGTCAACAGGCTAGACTAAAAAGATGTTAAGATGATTAAAGGGTCAAATATGTTTTTAAAGAGGTGGTATTCTGCTCATTTTTAGGTTCAAAATCTTATTTAGAGGTTGTACCAGAGCAGGTTTACATGGTTATATTTTTCTCATACTGCACATTGCTGCAGCTCCTCTTTTCACCCTGTGTGTTGTATGCTCCACTCTTGAGCTACAGACTGATGCATCTTACTTGTACAAAATCGTTGTTGGGAGTTGCACATGCGCAGTTCCCAGGTAAGGATTATTAGCCAATCAAAAGCAGAGAAGGGCCATAGACAGTATATTAATGGATGAAGCCACCCTGCTGATTTGAATGGAGAGCAGTGAAGCCAGTTTTGGACCAATAAAATACTACTACAGGGCTACTTCCTGTTACTTCCTGTTGGCACCTGCGCTTGATCGCGCAGCATAATCGTGGTTTAATGACGTAGAACAACAGTAGAAATACCGTGATTCTGGTAGCTGTATAAATGCACCAACAAAAGGTCCATCTGTCAAACACCAACGCAGCGTCACTGATCGCCGAATAGTTTTTTTTAGATTGCCGAGAGTTTATAATCTAAGCGATACGGTTAAATCTCTCATGTGCGACAGGGTGTCACGGGTTTTGACGTCATTTTTGGGCCTACATGGATCCCTCCATGCAGGCTTTGGTCGGCTTCACTGTCCGATCTCCCCTTGAGAAGGGCGGGTCGTAAGAAACAAGGTAGAGTGATCCAAATCAAAGCCGCTTCAGACTGCGACCGTAACCTAGCAGATGGTATAAGTTACTCCCAAGTCCACAACATCATTGTTCCACATCTTACCATCAGGACTAAACGTTGAACTGTTGCCGGTGTTCTGACGATCTATGCTGCCTTGTCGAAAAAGGCTACCATAGCGCAAATCGATAGACTCGACTCTACTCGGCCCTGCTCCGTTTTCCATATGCAGGTAGTACCCAGAGATAGTACGTAGCTTATCGTCATAGCGACGCCACACACGACTGTTGTGATCAATGCGACACACACACCAGCGATCCACACAGCTTTCTCTTTTTTAAGTTGAAACGTTTCAACCTTACTCAGAATGTAAAGACAGATAAGCGGTATGAAAACCTTCCAGCTGTGTTTTCCTCTGCCGTTGTTGCTGCAGCGGTCTGTGTGACGGCGGGAGCAGAGGGCTCTGTGAGCGGGCGGCTGGCCGGCCTCACCAGGTTGGCTCAGGCTTCCCCCGCAGCCACTCACGGAGCTCCTCAACTCCGACAATATTCAAGTACATTTTTGTTCCGCCATCACTTCCCGTAAAACTGTCAATATTTGAATTCTACACAGCTGATTTCTCACCTCAAAACTTCTCAGAAGTGGATTTATTGATGAAATTCCATACGAAAACTGTAAAATATAAAACTTTCTGTTGCCTCTGTCTGGTGCAGCAATGATGATGCAGTGAATAGTGAATATTCTCTCTGACCAATCAGTAGTCTGTCCTGTTTTCACGTTACATTTTAGTTTCCCTCCGCTCGCTTGGAACCTCGATGGAGGTGAGGTGATAAAAAAAAAGTACCTGGAAGCAGGTACAGGTACAACATTTCTACAATGGAAACCCAAACACAGGCGAGTCGAGCCAAAGGGCCTCCGCTCAGACTAGCTTGGTTTGAGGGCGTGCCTGACCCCGCTAGCTGCTTGGCAAGCTTTATGACACATTTTCATTGTGACGTCACAAGTAAAGGAAGTGAAGGGCTGGACTACAAACGAGCTGTTTTCAAGCGGTTCAGAGCAGAGTTTTCTGTGGATGATGGGAAATCCCTTTGGGCTGGACTTTGGGCTTTTTCACTTTGCAAACCAGTTACATGCACAAAAAAAGAGATATAACTCAATAAAGGAGAGGGGAAAAGCCAAAAAGCAGAATCCCACCTCTTTAAAAGTATTTTATTTACAATATTGTACAGAATGAAATAATCATCTCATCAGTTTATCAGCTCAGCAATTAACAGTATATCAATGTTATTAACTGATCCTCAATTTCTTTTCTGAAATGTAAGCCTACATTCTTCCCAAATTACCACACTGCAACTGGTTATGTAGAACAGCAAGAATAATAAAAGAATAATAATCTAATTTAAAGATTCAGTGTGTAATATTTAGGAGGATCTACTGACATATATTCAATATAATATCCATAACCATGTTTGAGTGGCCTTTTATTGCGGCCAGCCTAAGTCCTTTTATTGCGGCCAGCCTAAGTCCTTTTATTGTGGCCAGCCTGAGGCACAAGTCTGCTCAGCATCTTGATATGCCACACCTGTGAGGTGGATGGATTATCTCGGCAAAGGAGAAGTACTCACTGACACAGAGTTTGACAGATTTGTGAACAATATTTGAGAGAAATAGGCCTTTTGTGTACATAGAGAAAGTCTCAGATCTTTGAGTTCAGCTCATGATAAATGGGGGCAAAAACTAAAGTGCTGCGTTTATAATTTTGTTCAATATATATATAAATCTACATAAATAAACATAATTTCAAACCAATATATTATTATTTTGGCACAGAACTATACCATACAATTTTTATCCACAGTATATTAGTCATAGAATATTATGATATATGACATATATACATGTAGTCATGTGCATCAACAGCTAGAGCTAAGCATCCAGTAACTTTGACTAACACCAAATTACCCGATGTCCCAATGTTCTGTACCTGAATTCAGTATTATGTTAGAAAATCACAAAAGCCAAAGTGTTAAAAATAAAAAGCAGCCATTAGGCCAAACCTTTACATGACAGGTGAGTTGAAATAACTGTAAACTTTGCATGAATGTGTTCTCCCTCCTTCGCTCCTGTGGAGGACCGGAGTGACTGATCTGCAGTAGTTCTGCTCCTGACTCTTTGTTTTTCTCGCTTTGTTCTGAGCACCTTGTTATAGCACCTTTCTAGTCTTTTCGACCACTCAAAGCGCTTTTACGCTACATCACATTCACGTTGCCCAAGGACACTTTGACATGCAGAGGAGGAGCTGGGGATTGAACCGCCGACCTTGCGATTAACAGGCAACCCGCTCAACCTCCTAAACCACACCTGCCCACATCACACGGATCGGCACAACAAACCAATTCAGAACGCCGTCCACACCGAGAGCTGGCGACGACGATGAGTGACACGCAGAGATGCTGCGAGGGATCACATGCACGACACACACACACTGAAGACAAGAGGACGTAGAAGAATGCTTCAAATCCAACAGGACTAGTTGGATTGTGTTTATTTGATGTGAAAGAAAATAAAGATATGTTTGGAATAATGAGACAGCAGGAGGACAGGTGCAGCTTAACAGGTTAAATTCAGAGACTTTTCCCTTTAAGAAATCAACAACATCATGAATATAATCATCCTCTTTATCTCTAACTGCTCTGTTCCACTGTCACACAGACCTTCACTGCTGACAGCTTCAGCTCATCACTAGTGTAAATGTATGGAAACATCCTCTCAGTGAAAGTGTGTGTGAAGGTGTGTATGTGTGTGTTAGTATCAGGATCAGAGAACGACAGATTTCCTCTGTTCCAGTCCAGATTCACTCTGATCCTCTGGGGCTTCTTCTGAACTCTGAGATCAGTGGGTGGAGCTGGTGGTGACCATGCTGAGTATTCACCTCCAGAGAACATTATTGTCCATAATCCAGACCGTATGAGTCCCTTCCTCTGAACAGACTCTGCTAACACACCAAGTATCCAGTGTCTACTGTCTCCAGCCTCGACATCCCAGCTGTGAGTCCCTGAGTTAAAGCCCTCAGAGCCCAGAACAGACCAGTGATTAAACCTCTCTGGATGGTCAGGAAGCTGCTGTCTCTCTCCTCCTCGTCTCACACTGGTCAGATCTTCAGACAGGATGAGTCTTGGATGAGCAGTGTTTGGGTCCAGAATCACAGGAGTGTAGGAGACCATGTCCTTCATCTTGTTCCAGATGTTGAAGGTCAGGTTGCCCAGGTGTTTGGCCTGGTCTATCAGAGCTCCTGAGGGCAGCTGTGGATCATCCAGCAGGGGGCGCTGCTGGACTCTTTCCACTGCAGCCTTGTAGTTGAGCAGGAATGAGACGTCTTCAGCTCTCAGCTCCTCCTCTGTGGCTCTGACTGTGTCTGAAAGAGCTGCTATCTCTCTGCTCAGAGCCTCCATCTTCTCCTTCATCATCTGACTCTTCTGCTCCTCTTCCTCCCTCAGTGCAGCCATCCTGGCCTCCTCTTCCTCCTCTAGAAACTGCTGAAGCTTCTTAAACTGCTCCTTAATCTGCCTCTCTGTGTGTCGGGCCTGGACCTTCATGTGTTCTGCTGTTTGATCAAACTTCACTTTAACTTGTTCACAAACCTTTAACTTCTCCTTTAAGGGCTCCAGAGTTTCCTGAAGTTCCTTCTTGTGTTGTCGTGCAGCTTCATCGACGGGTCTGAATCTGTGGTTGCTGTGTTTTTCTGAATCTCTGCAGACGACACACACTGGCTGCTGATGGTCCAGACAGAAGAGTTTGAGTTTCTCAGAGTGCAGACTGCAGAGAGCCTCTGAAGCTCTCTGATCTCTCTCCTGTAAGAAGGCCTCACACAGGTTCTTTAACGCCAGGTTACGAGGTGGTTCTGACCTTGAAGATCTTCTCTTACAAACTGGACACTCAGGTGCTTGTTTTTCTCTCCACCAGCTCTTCAGACAGACTTTACAGAAGCTGTGGCTACATGACAGAAGAACAGGATCTCTGAAGACCTCCTGACAGACCGGACAGCAGAGATCCTCCTCTGATCTGGAAGCCATTTTGTCTCTGAAGCTGAAAACACAGCAGACAGCAGGTTACAACAGGAAGTCAGCTGTGTTTCCCTCCCTGCTGTAGAAAGCTGCCTCAGTTACTTTCACTGTGAGTCTCTGAGTGTTTCAGGCAGCAGCAGGTTGCAGTTGAAGTACTTCAGCACTTGAGTACCAGAGGTGGAAAGAATTACAATTACTGTTACTGTAATTGAGTAGTTTTTTTGTGTAGCTTTATTTCACAGGGGTTCTGCGCTAATAGGCCGTCTCGCTGCACTTTATGAAAGGTACGAGCTGATTTTATCCGCCTCTGAGCCGAGAAAGTTGGTGAGAGAGACGAGACAGAGAGGCAGAACGATCTCTGTGTGAAACGACGGTCACATCTGCCGCTCTTTTTGCACGCCGCTGGTTCCGGTAAAACCAGACCGCTATATGAAAGAACACATGGTTGCGGGATAATACTGCAAACTTTTGTTCTGTATTTATCGAATCCGACATATGCAGATATTCTTTCTTTGATTTCCGTATGAGGCGGCTACACCCTCACTCCCCCCGCTTCCCCTCCCGACTCCTGTACCGTCCCATAACGCCCACCCCAAAACTACGCCAATGAATCGCAAGAAACATGAAATGAATATAAAAAGCAACTAATGAACACGATTTTAGATCCCTTGGTACATCAGTGTCCAATTCAAGTGTGACACACGAGAAACAAGAACGCCGGGCTGCTGCATCAAATAGATATTACATGGCGATATTATGTCGTATCATTTACACGCCAATGTGGCCGGTGTTATGGCAGAAAATTGGGTCCTCTTACATTTAATCTTTTATGTATGATCTTTTAATATTATCATTATTATTACTATTATTGTTATAGATATATGTATTGTGATTTTATCCTTAACCTTTCCTTCCTCTATACTCCTTATGTTGGTCTGTCCACATTTACTAGGGTTTAGGTCAGAGCTGTGAGATTGTTTTGGTGTTTTCCCTCTCTTGTTCCCCAAAACATAGAAACCTAGACTGTGTGAATGATGATGCATCCCTTTGCTCGGGGCCAGACGCCTGAAGCCGCCCTAGGTAGCAGGTCTCTGTTTATTCTCTTTTGTTAAATAAATTCTTCAAAGACAACGGTTGGTTGTAACTCAATTCTTTGTTCAACCCCTCACCAGGAGTATAATTTCCACGACAGCAGGTAGCCCTCTAACATTTAGCCACCAAACGGAAAATCCACCCGCATTTGGCGGGTACTAATTTCCTTCCCTGATACTAACGTTTATAATATCCCATTAAAATGACCACCTGTTTGAAGGTAAGGTATATGACTTTATATACAGTACAGTGTTTCCAGCCAGAGTCTAATCTGTTCCACCACAGTTTCTTAATGAAGCAAAAAGATTCTCAAACTTTTCATTATAACATAAAATGTCCTTGTTCTTCCCCATTGATTTGGCAAAGTATCTGTCAAGCAAACTAAAACTGAAAGCGCCAAATGGCTTTGTTCCTTCATCAAATCACAAAAGACTGCAATATAATTAAATAACTATAACAAGAATAAGATATTAAATCAATGTAAATAAGGAGGAGGTTAAAAATTAACTTTAAAAAAAAGCAACTTTTAAAATATGAAATGAGCTGCTTTTACTTGAGTAGGTTTTTAGATCAGTAACTTTACTTGTACTTAAGGAAAAATTCATCAAAGTAATCGTACTTTTACTTAAGTAGAATATTTTTGTACTCTTTCCACCTCTGTAGAGTCACAGCTTTGTAATAAAGGTTAATCATACCGTCTGTCTGTTGCAGCGTCTCTTCTTTCTGAAAATTGAACAGGAACAAACTGTTTCCTGATTTGTCTCAGGTGAGTAGTGTGAGGGGCGGTGCTTTGTTAGACCTGCTCTGCTAAAACTGGTATTTTCACCTGTAACACAGAGTGTGTTTCATTCCTAAGCACTGATTCACTGGAGACTGATAGCTGATAGGTAATCTGGCATACCGGGCAAATTCCCGGTGGGCTGACGCACCTTTGGGGCCAGTGTAACATCAATCATCTATTTATGTAACTGTTTTTTAAAAATGGGCCAACGACTGAGCCATAAAGCATGGACAGTGGCACATTGGGTAATTTTCTGTTAACTCCTCCGAAGCCACGAGTCCGATCGGCACGAAACTTGGCACGGGCTATCCATGGACCAAGCCGTTAAAGGTTTGTAGAGGGAATTCTGATCCAAGTCAAAATGTGCCAAATATAAGCTAACAAATGTTTGGAAAGGCCAATCTACACCAAACTCGGGGACCTTATCTGGCACGCCCTCCCGAGAGGCTGTTTGAAATTTTGTGTGAATCCACCTCTAGGTGCCGCTATTAATCGTATATCAACTAACACTCCCATACAGTGCCTTGCAAAAGTATTCGGCCCCCTTGAACTTTTCGACCTTTTGCCACATTGCAGGCTTCAAACATAAAGATATAAAACTGTAATTTTTTGTGAAGAACCAACAACAAGTGGGACACAATCATGAAGTGGAACGAAATTTATTGGATATTTCAAACTTTTTTAACAAATAAAAAACTGAAAAATTGTGTGCAAAATTATTCAGCCCCCTTAAGTTAATACTTTGTAGCGCCACCTTTTGCTGCGATTACAGCTATAAGTCGCTTGGAGTACGTCTCTATCAGTTTTGCACATCGAGAGACTGAAATGTTTGCCCATTCCTCCTTGCAAAACAGCTCGAGCTCAGTGAGGTTGGATGGAGAGCGTTTGTGAACAGCAGTTTTCAGTTCTTTCCACAGATTCTCGATTGGATTCAGGTCTGGACTTTGACCTGGCCATTCTAACAACTGGATATGTTTATTTGTGAACCATTCCAGTGTAGATTTTGCTTTATGTTTTGGATCATTGTCTTGTTGGAAGACAAATCTCCGTCCCAGTCTCAGGTCGTTTGCAGACTCCATCAGGTTTTCTTCCAGAATGGTCCTGTATTTGGCTCCGTCCATCTTCCCATCAATTTTAACCATCTTCCCTGTCCCTGCTGAAGAAAAGCAGGCCCAAACCATGATGCTGCCACCACCATGTTTGACAGTGGGGATGGTGTGTTCAGGGTGATGAGCTGTGTTGCCTTTAAGCCAAACATAACCTTTTGCATTGTTGCCAAAAAGTTTGATTTTGGTTTCATCTGACCAGAGCACCTTCTTCCACATGTTTGGTGTGTCTCCCAGGTGGCTTGTGGCAAACTTTAAACGAGACTTTTTATGGATATCTTTAAGAAATGGCTTTCTTCTTGCCACTCTTCCATAAAGGCCAGATTTGTGCAGTATACGACTGATTGTTGTCCTATGGACAGAGTCTCCCACCTCAGCTGTAGATCTCTGCAGTTCATCCAGAGTGATCATGGGCCTCTTGGCTGCATCTCTGATCAGTCTTCTCCTTGTATGAGCTGAAAGTTTAGAGGGACGGCCGGGTCTTCGTAGATTTGCAGTGGTCTGATACTCCTTCCATTTCAATATTATCGCTTGCACAGTGCTCCTTGGGATGTTTAAAGCTTGGGAAATCTTTTTGTATCCAAATCCGGCTTTAAACTTCTCCACAACAGTATCTCGGACCTGCCTGGTGTTTTCCTTGTCCTTCATGATGCTCTCTGCGCTTTAAACGGACCTCTGAGACTATCACAGAGCAGGTGCATTTATACGGAGACTTGATTTCACACAGGTGGATTCTATTTATCATCATTAGTCATTTAGGTCAACATTGGATCATTCAGAGATCCTCACTGAACTTCTGGAGAGAGTTTGCTGCACTGAAAGTAAAGGGGCTGAATAATTTTGCACGCCCAATTTTTCAGTTTTTTATTTGTTAAAAAGGTTTGAAATAGCCAATAAATTTCGTTCCACTTCATGATTGTGTCCCACTTGTTGTTGATTCTTCACAAAAAATTATAGTTTTATATCTTTATGTTTGAAGTCTGAATTGTGGCAAAAGGTCGAAAAGTTCAAGGGGGCCGAATACTTTCGCAAGGCACTGTAGACATCCATTCATTTTATATTGCCAAAACCGCAAGTCCCTGTCATTTCAAACTCAAACTCGCCCATTTATTCTCCACAGACCCCTGAGCCACGGCAGGGCGCCTGGGTCAACTCGCGCCCTCCACGGGGTGAGGGGGCAGTTTGCTTGGCCATGTTGCTTGAAGTCCAGTGTAAAGTTTCCACAGTCAGTGATGGTTTGGGGTGCCATGTCATCTGCTGGTGTTGGTCCACTGTGTTTTCTGAGGTCCAAGGTCAACGCAGCCGTCTACCAGGAAGTTTTAGAGCACTTCATGCTTCCTGCTGCTGACCAACTTTATGGAGATGAAGATTTCATTTTCCAACAGGACTTGGCACCTGCACACAGACTTCAAGCAACATGGATTCTGTGCCTCTCCTCTCTTCCTTCAGACTCTGGGACCTTGATTTCCAAAGGAAATGCAAAATTTACTGTCATCAGAGAACATAACTTTGGACCACTCAGCAGCAGTCCAGTCCTTTTTGTCTTTAGCCCAGACGAGACGCTTCTGACGCTGTGTCTTGTTCAAGAGTGGCTTGACGCAAGGAATGTGACAGCTGAAACCCATGTCTTGCATACGTCTGTGCGTGGTGGTTCTTGAAGCACTGACTCCAGCTGCAGTCCACTCTTTGTGAATCTCCCCCACATTTTTGAATGGGTTTTGTTTCACAATCCTCTCCAGGGTGCGGTTATCCCTATTGCTTGTACACTTTTTTCTACCACATCTTTGCCTTCCCTTCGCCTCTCTATTAATGTGCTTGGACACAGAGCTCTGTGAACAGCCAGCCTCTTTAGCAATGACCTTTTGTGTCTTGTGCAAGGTGTCAATGGTCGTCTTTTGGACAGCTGTCAAGTCAGCAGTCTTCCCCATGATTGTGTAGCCTACAGAACTAGACTGAGAGACCATTTAAAGGCCTTTGCAGGTGTTTTGAGTTAATTAGCTGATTAGAGTGTGGCACCAGGTGTCTTCAATATTGAACCTTTTCACAATATTCTAATTTTCTGAGATCCTGATTTTGGGGTTTTCATTAGTTGTCAGTTCTAATCATCAAATTAAAAGGAATGAACACTTGAAATATATCAGTCTGTGTGGAATGAATGTATACATTATACAAGTTTCACTTTTTGAATGGAATTACTGAAATAAATCAACTTTTTGATGATATTCTAATTATATGACCAGCACCTTTACATGTAAGTCTATGAGAGAGAGCTGGGCGAATTACAACCAGACTGAAATCGCACCAAATGAGGCGGGACTCCACGGAATACGACTTGATACTGATTGGACAGCGATATTCAGAGACAAACTGCCAAAAACAGTCACAGCTAACTAACAGTGTGGTAGAAAGTGTGAGAAAAAGTCTTTTTCCCGGCTTGGAGGTGCGTTGCCCGGTCGCCCTAATGAACAAGCCCCCCCTGTGTGAGATTGACAGTCAAATCAGGCTCCGCCCATCGAAGCATTGAATCTCCGACTATTTGGGGTCAGCCCTAGTCTAAAGTTACTTGATATTATTTAAATATGATTATAATAGCTGAATTTACTATTATGACGACAAATGTCAACAGGCTAGACTATAAGATAAAAAATGATTAAAGAATCCAACATGTTTTCAAAAATGTTTTTATTTATTTAAATATTTTGTAGAATGAAGTAATCTTTTCATCAATTAACAGTACATCAATGTTATTAACTTATCCTCAATTTCTTTTCTGAAGTGGTAGCCTACATTCTTCCCCATCAACCTGATCATTCATATAAAATATTTTGAAACTTATGCATATTCATCAACTAACAAAAGAGATCAATTAATGTCATTGACATTGTTGGGGCAACAGCTTCAACATGATGTTGCCTAAACTTTTTCCCCAGCCTGAACTTTCACTATCAAGTATCAAGTTCTATGGATCCACAGTAGTGATACATTTAATTTTAATAGCCTTTTAACATTGTCCCAAATTACCACACATCTGGTTATTTGGAACAACAAAAAAAGTTTCAAATTTAAAGGTTCAGTGTGTAATATTTAGGAGGATCTTTTGACAGAAATGCAATATCATATACATAACTATGTTTTCAGAGGTGTATAAATACTTTACATAATGAACTGTTATGTTTTTATTATCTTTGCATGCTTTGAAATTTGGACAAATGGAGGACCACACATATTATTTAGCTTGGAGCTGACAGAGCGAGACCGGCCACAGTAGCTTCTTCTAAGCTCTAACAAAGGGAGGGGTGAGTGGAAAGTGAGCCGCTGGTTGCAATTCACAAGCCTCACCACTAGATGCCGCTAAAACTTACACACTGAACCCCTTAAATAAATGTAAACATATGTATAAATGATCAATATATGTATATATAAACATAATTTCAAACCAATATATTATTATTTTGGTACACGATTACTCCATACATGTGTTTACATAATTTATATCCACAGTATATTAGTCGTCAAATGTTATGATATATAACATATATATAGTCATGTAATTAACATCAAACGCTAAGCATCCAGTAACTTTAACTTACACTTTTCAGGACAGAAGTAAAATGCTGTTTTCCAAAATATGTCCCAAATTACCTGATGTCCCAATGTTCTGTACCTGAATTCACTGTTATGAAAATCACAAAAGCCAAATAAAAATAAAAATAAAGCAGCCATTAGACCAAACCCTTAGATGACAGATAAGATGACAGGTGAGTTGAAATAACTGTAAACTTTCCATGAATGTGTTCTCCCTCCTTCTCTCCTGTGGAGTACCGGAGTGACTGATCTG